GGTACATCTCTGTCGAGTCCACCTCGATGAGCTCTGTTCCGGTCGACCAAACCTTGCACGATAATGGATCGCGCGTCGAAGCCTGGTTCTCTGGGGTCGACTGGAACCCTACGCCCTGTACTGTACTGACGCCTGTCATCTGGCTGCCGAGGAGCGTAAGACCCACCCCTAGGAGGGGAATAGGGCACTCGACGCCTATCATCTCGGTCGAGTCTGTCGCCATATTGATCTCGCCGATTCTCGCGCCCTTCGCGCCGCGGAGGCGATCTGGGGCTGTGAGCCGACTGAACCGTATTCACAGTGACGGATCGACTGTGAATTCTGTTGCGCGACTGAGACACGGCTGAATTCTGATCTCCTGCTGCCCGGAGCAGATCCCTGATCTGCAGCAAACCTCTGCCAGCTTCCGACTGCGAAGGCTGGATGGACTCTGCTATACGGGTCGCAGCTGCTAAATTCTGAATTGGGGTTCGATATACCTGAGTCGGCGGGAAGAGTTGACGTCGACTGGTGTCGGGAACTCGTTGCCGCGCGCGCTCGTCGAGTGTTCGCTGAAGGTTCTCCAGTCGAGTGCGCTCGGCCAAATTGGCCAGACGCGCCTCCTCCAAGGCACGAGCCTCGGGGGTTTCTCCTGCGATGGGAATACGCAGGGGATCCTCGTTCCTGCGGCGAAGCTCCTCTCTTTGCAGAGAGTCGAGTGGCTCGGGCTGGTACTCTTCGTAGCCTCGTGCGGGATCGTCTCCGTCACCTGCTCCACCGTCATGGGCGAAGCCAGGGGGACCGCGGGGCCCGTCGACCATCAAGATTTCCGCCGCTAGATCACTGCTACCGCACTCGGATGCAGTCTCTACGGAGCCAGTCGACAGGTCGAACAAGCCGTAGATAGGTTCGTCGGGCTCGATTGCCGCAACTTGGGTGGTGGCCGTTTGGCGAGCCACCGCGTGCCTCACCCATCGTTGAAGCCTCGACCGGCCCGAGCGCTTGCGCTGGCGGGAGACCGGGAGGGTGGACGATGGAGGAGCCGACCGATACTGGGTCGACGGTTGCCGCAGCAGAACGCCGCGGACACATGCGCGAAAATGCGTCGCACCGCGGACGGGGAGCGCATCTACGTCGAGTGGAGCCTCCTGGAGCCATGCGGAGTCGTCGGCGATGAAGGTGAGAGTGCCGAGACGGATCTCTTGACCCTCGACCAAAACTCCAGCAGACACCATGATGAAAGTACTCGGAAGAATCGCAACTTCTCCACAAAATCGCTAAAACACCTGCCCCACGGTGGGCGCCAACTGTCGTGGTTCTAAGCCTGACAGTAGAGTGGGGGGTAGGTATGGAGAGGCAAGGTCCTAGCTATGGAGAAGTTGTAAGCACAAAGGATGTACGAGTTCAGACCCTTCTCGGAGGAAGTAACAGCCCTACGTCTCGGAGCCCGGAGGCGGTCGAGTGGATTATGAGTATATGAGCTACAAGGTGCCGAACCCTTCTGCCTGTGGAGGGGGGTGGCTTATATAGAGTGAGCCAGGACTCCAGCCAGCCCACGTAGGAGAGGGTTTAAGGTGAGTTAAGTCTGGGGCGTTACTGGTAACGCCCCACATAAAGTGCCTTTACTATCATAAAGTCTACTTGATTACAGGCCGTTGCAGTGCAGAGTGCCTCTTGACCTCCTGGTGGTCGAGTGAGTCTTCGTGGTCGAGTCCTTCAGGCCAGTCGAGTGAGTCCTCGTTGGTCGACTGGAAGGCGACCTCTTCTAAGGATGCCTTGGGGTAAGTTACTTGGATCAGGTCCATGACCCTACCCTAGGTACATAACCCCATCAGGAGGCGGACGGGTGGGTGGTGGTAGCACGGAAGTGGGCGGAAGGCAGTTGGACGGTTGGCACGCGGCTGCCAAATTGACATCTCCTATAGGTGGAGATGTGTATTTGCATCACCGAGTGTTGTGTTTTACATCTCAGGCAAGCGGAGATGTAAATGTTTTTGCATCTACATCATCTGTTGGAGAAGCGTTTTTGGCCTCGAAGATGTATATATTAGTTATTTTTGTATCTGCATCTTCTATTGGAGATGCTCTAACTATGCGGAGTTTAGGTCCGAGTGCTTCATTTAGATTTAATAAAATCCACCATTTTCTCAATATTTTAAACTGAGAAATATGATCATTATCATTGCAAAAAATAGAGACATTCTTTTAGGACTATTTAGTCTACGCCCAACCCCTCGAATGGAATCATATAAGTTGTCCCAAGGAAAATTGAAACCAAAAGATTCCGACACCGACTCCCTGTAATGCAGACGCTTAAATGTTGAGAACTGAAACATCGATCACCTTGATTTCTCAGTACTACTGTTTACTACTCCCTCCGCTCAAAAAACTTATCCCAAGTTTATCCCTCAAATAGATGTATCTAACGCTGAGGGATAAGCTTTTTCCGGACAGTGGGAGTATTCGCTAACAACTGGGGAAAATATTCATGGGCCCATCTTCATGGAAGTTGTCGATATCGGGGCTCCACGGACCCAAACAAGATTCGAACTCTGGTGCGTGTACGAAGGATCTCGCTTCACAACGACGCTCGGCTTGCCACCCGCACGGCTTGATCTCACCGAATACGCGCCAGCGGGGAGAACAAATGAACACGGAGATTTACCCAGGTTCGGGCAACCTTGCGGTGTAAGATCCTACTTCTGCTTTGTGGTGGATTGGCCTCATGAGGAGGTTGAGGATGAACTACTACAATGGATGAGCTGCCTCGCGAGGGCTCAGAGGGTGAGAATGAATCAATCCTCTCTACGGTGGAGTGTAGCATATATTTATAGTGGCATTGGTCCTCTTCCCTCATAGCTTAGGCGGTAAGGGATTCTATAGTGACCAATTTTGAAAGGGGACAAGAGGTACATTTTATCCTCACGATAGGTGGTCTTCGCTAGCTAACCTTCTGGCCATGACGCAGTAGTAGGCTCGGTGATGACATCCGTCCCGCCGAGCTCGTGGTCTTGGCCTCATTGCACCGGAATGAAAACTTTTACGGGCTTTCTCGGGAATCCGCACATGTCCTTGCTCCCTTAGCACCGAAGAGGAAACTGTTCCCCTCTCCGTCCGTTGGCGCCCGCCTGGCCTTGGTCATCATGACTTACGTCATCGTGAACCTTATGAGACAGGGCACCTGCATAAAGATCTCCGCTCCTCGAAAGGCAGGCTCGGGGAGCTGCTCCTGGGAAGGCCTTGACGCCATCCGCCTCGTGAGGCCGGGGTCCTCGCGAGGGTCTTGCTTGTGGGTTTTTCAGCTGGGCCGTAATGGGCCATCAACGAAGTTAAAGGCTGGACCGCAGGCAGGCAGATTTGGGTACCCCCGATCCCAGAACACCTACATACATATACAGTGCGATTGTAGTCTTGTACGCTAATAAATCCGGCCAAATACATCATTCTCTTCCCTTTCTTTATGGACAGTCGACTACAACCTATGCCTAATCATACGTTAAGCTAATCTGTAATCAAGCCGGGTTATCCTCCTCGTACGTGCCCGGTACCAAGACGAGCCAATTGGTTAAGGGACAATATCCTTGTCGCCCACTCGACCCTGCAGTTCTGACTTTCATTTATTTTTGTCCGGTTTCGATCGGATTCTTCGTATGCGCATCGATCGTTCAGTTGGTAGTTTCGGGCGTCAAGTGTCGACGCCGTATAAGTACACCCAACACAAGCTTCAACCGATTTGTCATTTGTGGATAGATCCTTCCAGCCCGGCTCCGTTGACGTGGATGCGCATGTTGACCTTGACCCCAATGAATGGCGACGACGCTCCGTGCCGCCGTCTTCTCTGGAGATATTTGGGCTTCTGGGTGATCGACTGTGCAGCGCTCCATGAGTTTCTTCTCGTGAGATAGAGTTGGCGCTGAAGATGGCATCATCAGGCAGGTACGTCGCAATCTTCTAGCCCCAACCGCGAAACGGTTTAATTGCGTTACGGTCTCCCTCGCTCTCGTAATTAAATTGCAAGCTGGCACGGCTGCGAGCACCCGACAACCGCCCCGGCGTAGCGCATGCACCTTAGAAACACTTATTTTAGGACGAAGAAATTATCAAATGCTTTCACAGATTTCCATAAGCATTTAACGAGACCTACGCTTGAGATGACCTAGCAGCCGCCACGTACCCGAAAGGTTAGGGTTCCTTTGCCTCCCGCCGGTGCCAGCGCCGGTCCACCTCATCTCCTGTGGCCTTAGGGCCATGGGGCGAAGTTGATCCCGGCCCTTGCCGGTGGGAGTGATCCGTCTTAAGATCTTTTTTCTGGGTTAGTTAGGGTTTGTGTCCTATTCAGGAAGGCGAGACGGCGGTGGCTCCTTAAAAATGGAATAAAGGTCTCCCCGCCTCGCTCCCGTTCCAGTGATATGTCTAGCATCGTCGGTGGGCATGTGGGGGTGTGTCTTCGGTGGATCTTTCTTCGGTGGATTTGCTCGGATCTATTCGTCGTTCATGTTTGTTCGTGTGTCTTCAGGTTGGATCCTTCTTATTTACACTTTTCCTCGGCGGCGGTTGTTGTTTTGGTGCGTTGGATCTATGAGACTTAGCACGACGACTTCCCGACTGTCTACTACAACAAGGTTTGCCCGGCTTCAGCGAGGAAGGGGCGTTACAGTGGCGCGCCTTCGTCTCGCTTCAGTGCTTGTAGTCATCGCTATGTGGGTTACGAATCTGGATGTATTTTTATTATTTCTAGTGTTTATTGTACAACCACGATTAAAAATGAATAGATCATATAAGTTTATCAAAAAAAATATCTACACAATGAGCGACGGTTATCTGGGACACTACACGATGCATGCATGGTTTCTTTCTTTCGGCGACCGTCATCTTGGGCATACTAGTGCCTTACTTGGCGATCACCATTCTTAACCCAATAATTATGGCTCATGACCTCAATAAATTCATGTCCTTTAATTTAACATGACATTTTATCTGTGTTGCCATTTATCTTCTTTCCAACCTCACCGATGGTCGTCTCAGTACTCACACAATCACAAAGCATTTAAATATGGTCAATCATAATACCTTTCTCTCTCAGCACAATACGAGAATCTGCTTTCTTTTTCTCTGTGTGAAGTTTTGCCGAGGCGTGCATGGTACTCGTCTCACTTTTAACTACGCACAACATCTTGAACAATCCTTGCGAAAATCAAAACCGGACTTTTCCACACTGTTTTGCATCCTATATTTATCTAACCCCGTTGTCACTATCAAGAAGAAAGATGGGCGTGAGGCCCCCGAGACCTTTCCAAAAACTGTAAAGAAGAAAGAAACACAACCCACAAATCTGAAACAAACTGATATGACATTGTATCACATCTCTATACTCTGTGCATACTATATTGTCCTGCTCACTTCCCTACCTTAGTTCTATGCCCCTTTCTCCTGGTGGTAGCTCGACGACCTTTGTTGACGTCGCTGCGCACCAGTGCGCCCGGTAGTGAACCCATTGCGGCCGCGAAGCACAATGCCGGCATGGATTGCTGAGTCGGGATACTTCTGTCGGTGCCTGTCTTGATGGTTCTGGTGATGGTGTTGGTGCTTCTCCTCGACCTCCACCTTCATGTCCACTACCTTGTCCTCCTCCACAATGACTGTGAACACAAATGGGCCCACGGGAAAGAAGTCTTCCATGCCGAGGACGGGCTCGAGGGCTTTTACCACTTGCCTCATGGTGGGTCTAGACTTTGGGTTCTGGCTGAGACACTTGTATGCCACCAGTGCTGCCACCTCGGCGCCTTTGCATGAGTATTGACACTCGAGAGTTGGGTCCATGACTTTGTACAATCTGTCAGGTTGCTTTAGGTATGGTCTAGACCAAGCCACCAGGTTCTGCTCCCTCAGCCGTCGTGCACGGTCCACTGATCGCAGCCCGGAGAGGAGCTCCAGGAGCACTACACCAAAGCTATATACATCGCTCTTGGCAGTCAAGTGGCCGGTCATGATATATTCTGGCGCTGCATAACCATGCGTCCCCATGACACGTGTTGTCACGTGTGTCTCGTCACCCTGGGGCCCATCCTGGGCCAGCCCAAAGTCGGACAACTTGGTGTTGTAATCCTGAAATAGCAAGCATTGGAATTTTGTGAGGGGAAATAGCACCAAGTGACGTACAATGACGTACGCAGTGAATATTTTTCTCCAACTAGGTATAATGTATAAAAATGTGTACAATTGCACTATAGTTTGTGAATTACTAATTAGTGGGTGTTAATGTGAGCTTGACTTATGTGGTGAAGCGAGGACATATAAGCTTTCTCAAGTTTGTCATGCATCCAAGAATCTTCAGAGTTTCAGTCAGGTCACAGCAAAGTTCATGGCATCTTGGATAGTTCAACTGGTCAAAAGTTAAAGGTTTAAAATCTGGATTCAAGGTCAAATTATTTTGTGCTCATCAGTCAGTTTTGTAGGAATTCCAGTGTATAAGAGATGTGAAGCTTTTTCGACCCCATTTGTTAGTAACCACCACTACAGTTTCCAAATGAAAGACATTTTGAAAGCTGCTTCTTTTCTTTGCAGAAAGTCTGAAATTACGGGTGGCTGGCTTACCGAGTCGAGCAAGATGTTGGAGGCCTTGAAGTCGCGGTAGATCACCGGCGGGTCTGCGTCGTGGAGAAAGGCAAGGCCCTTGGCCGCGCCGACAGCGATCTTCATCCTTGTCATCCACGGGAGAGAGCCATTTATGCCTGAAAGGAAATAGGATGTTTTAGGTCAGTCTCCTGCTCCACATTGACCAAGAGTTGTAACTTTCAAGCACTAGGAAGTTGGTAGGATAAATAATTCTTTAACCAAAAATATCCAAATATCTACAGTTCCTCTGTTTTAAAAACAGCAGGCGTTGTTCTTTTGGATGGCAGAGAACAGCTCAGCTATCTTCTTGACTTAGAGAAAAGAAATGAAACTTAGAGAAAAGAAACTGCAGGGGACAAGAAGAGCTCATTCCTCATGGACCAGATGGCACTCGTACGTGCCCAGGTTTCCAAATTAACACAAATTCTTTATCTTGCTGGTCTCGAGAACCACCAAACGTACTAGTAATCCTCAGAATGATCAATCGACAGAAGAACTCACTCTTGAAGAGGTGCTTCTCCAGGCTCTCGCCGCTCATGAACTCGTAGACCAGCATCCGGTGCTCGTCCTCGTAGCAGTAGCCGATCAGTTTCACCAGGTTCTTGTGCCTCAGTTGCCCAAGGAAGAAAACCTCAGCCTACAAAGAACAACCCACATGATAAGCTAGGTGTTCATCGAGCAGACACCGAATTAATCACGCGAGCATCTGAGCGTGCTGGGGCGTGCATTGCACTCTGATCCGCCCTCACCAGCCACTCCTTGTGTCCCTGCGTGCCGCAGTCCAGGTCGAGGTACTTGACGGCGACGGGCTGCGCGGCCAGCCCGGGGCGGAGCTTGTCGTCGACCGCGCCCTTGTAGACCGGTCCGAAGCCGCCGCAGCCGAGGTAGTTGGCGCGCGAGAAGCTCCCGGTCGCGGCGCGGAGCTCGGCGTAGGTGAAGGCGTACAGGTTGGACCCGGACAGCGTGATGGACAGGTCCTCCGGCGACAGCGTCCCCGACGAGCTCAGGCTCTTGAAGGACATTCTCGACGACGACCTCGGGCATCCTTTCACGCTCCGCCCGATACGCTGCCGCGAGGTGCGGTCGTGGTAGCCGTCATCCGCCACTCTGCTGCCGCCGACGCAGCACGAGAATGGGTTCCAAGATTTCGCGGCCATGGCAAGAACTGATAGGTTTTGTAGTATATATCAATATGGAAGGATCAAGAAAGTTTCCCGCCTCCCCGGAGCTGAGAATGAGCTCTCGGCTCAAGGAGAAGGTGAGCTCGGCTTGGGTGGATGCTATGGTGGAGCGGCTAGCCGGGCCTTTATATAAGTGTGGAGTGCGGGTGGCTGCCTGTGCCACACCCACACGGATGGGCTCGTTGTCCGCGCCTCGACACTCTACCGTAGGACAAAACAGCCGATGATGTGATGGCTGGCGAAACAGGGGAAGGGTATGGTGGGGTTGGTGGCGCACCCCTCCCTCCAACCAGAGTTTCTACCGGCGAGACGGACGGCGTAGGCTGCTTATGTTTCATGGAGTTGACTCAAACCTTGTGGGAACGAACATGGGTGGATGCAAGTGACGGGAATGTCACACCGCGGTTTCATATACCACATTAGCCGCGGGTTATGGTGAAAAGTTGTCCGGGGTGGACCATCATCGGACGTAGGCTAGGACGATTAAACTGACCCCTAAGCTCCACGGGTTAATTTGGTTTAGTAGACGTGGTTTTCAGATACTGTGGCCGTGGGTTTGATCGGTTGTGCTACAGCTGCCTTTACGCCAACTCCAGCGCGCGATCCTAAACGGACATCCATTTTGTCCGGATTCTGTCTATTTGGGGCGGCAATGGAATCGTGTCTGGGCCTTTTCTGGAATACGGTGGCCGTGCATCCAACGCGCAGACGCATCCTGTGGCCACATCATGTCTGCCTTTAAACGCAAATATTCGAATAACAACAGCCCGTAGTTCATGTCAGCGGCCCTAATTCACGACGGCAACACAGCCAGCCTCCAAAATGAATAGGTATGTCGCCAGCAACACGGCCAGCGGCCGGCAACACAGTCAGCCTCCAAAATGAATAGGTTTGTCGCCGGCACACGGCCAGCGGCTGGCACCCATGCCAGCCTCCAAAAAGAACGGTCGCCGCTGCTGGATCGCAGCGTAACGTTGAGGTCAATGACGGCCGAGGGGCGCGGGGTGGACGGCTCGATCACGCCAACGTCTAGCGACACCGAGAAACGGGTCTAGCCTTCGTACCTTGGCGGAGGAAAACCGGGCTACAAAGGCGTGGTCCGCGACATAGGCGAGGGGCAATGCGGAGGCGGGGCGACCGATGAGCCTGTGCTCGCCGGGCCGACGGGCGTTGCCGAGAAAATCGCCGGACGACAAATCCCAAGCATGAGGAGGGCGTGCGCTTTGTTGACGATGTCCTCCTTCTCGTCGACGTCAGCCTTGCGCCGCGCGGCCTCCAATGCAGCGCGCTCGGCGGCGAACATGGCCGCGACATTCTTGCCCTTGGCCACTGCCCTCCGGTTCCTCCTCTTGGCCGATTCCGCATCCAGCTTTGCAAGCTCTGCCGGCGTGAGTTCCGACCGCGGCTTCTTCGGACCCTTGGCCGCCTTCTTCTTCACCTTTCCGGGCGGGTCGACGGCCTGGCCACCGGAATTCGGTGGGGCATCGGCCATGGCGGGAGTGTGGCGGAGGGGAGGTCGGACATGGGAGGGTTTGGGGGGAAATGGCGCGGAATGGGGCGTTGGGCGGGTGCTTTGTGCCATCGACGGGTGAGGGAGTCCTGGATTGAGGGGTCCTCGGACAGCCGGACTATTGATGTGGGCCGGACTGTTGGGCTATGAAGATACAAGACTGAAGATTCTCTCCCATGTCCGGATGGGACTCTCCTTGGCGTGGAAGGCAAGCTTGGTGACCGAATATGTAGATTCATTTTTCTGTAATAGACTTTGTACAACCCTAGTCCCCTCCGGTACCTATATAAACCGGAGGGCTTAGTCCGTAGAGGCATAGACATACACAATCATAATCCTCATAGGCTAGACTTCTAGGGTTTAGCCATTACGATCTCGTGGTAGATCAACTCTTGTAATACTCATATCATCAAGATCAATATAGCAAGAAGTAGGGTATTACTTCGATAGAGAGGACCCGAACCTGGGTAAACATCGTGTCTCCCGCCTCCTGTTACCATCGGCCTTAGACGCACAGCTCGGGACCCACTACCCAAGATCCGCCGGTTTTGACACCGACATTGGTGCTTTCATTGAGAGTTCCGCTGTGACATCGAAGATAGAATTGATGGCTCGCCTTGTTATCAAGGACTACATCACCTCCGAAGGAGCCCTGGCCTCAGGCCAAACCATCCGACTGGGCGGCTTCATCATGACCACCCGCTCAGCCATCGAGCCGACAATGACTTCTCGGATCATCAAAAATCGTCTCCGCATTGATTTCGAACACTCTAAACAGATGGATCCGACGGAGTTGTCGTCTTTGAACGAACTCCTCGATCGCATCGCCGCCCTGGGCGTCGCTACAGACTACGACCAGATCGGGCTTAAAACTAATCAGAGAGAAATCAAATCTCCACCAATCACCCATTAGGTATCAGTAATTGAGGAGTGCAATGGCAGCTCCCCCTCTACATTGAGGACGAACTATGTTTGGACTACTGGGCTTGAAGAGCCGGATAACCATCTGCGGAACAACACGCCCTGCGCTCTGAACTTAGAATCGGGCAATGGGCCAGAAAAATCAGTTGATATCACGGAGCCCGAACTGTTAAGTTCGGAAGTTTCTCAGACTCTAGATCCCAAGGTGGGTTAGGGTTCGGATTTAAAACCACCCACCCACCCAGATACACGCGATCTTACGTACATACGACAGCAGTCTCTGGAAACGGTCCATCACTTTTGGGCCCAATTCCTCCTTGTTAAAGACAAGATCGAAGGCTGCGGCGATGAAGACACAATCACACAATTCTGCAAAAATTGCACGAACGAAGGAATCTTCAATGCAATTAACCGTCATTGCATATTACACTTCGCTGACTTGGCAACCATAGTACAGAAGTACTGCGCAATGGAGAGCGCCTGGAAAACCCAGGCAGCACCTTGGGAACTACAAGTCCCCCCTCAACTACTCATCCGGACAAAAAGATGCCCCCTCGTGGGTTGCCCGATCCAATATTAAAGAAACCAAAGCCCATCATAGGGCACGGAACTGTTCTGGAGGGATGGCTCGATAGGCCATGCAAAATAAACTCAACACCAGACACCATATCAACCCACAACCATAGGGCATGTTGGATACTCCGGCAAGTGGCCAAGAGCGGCGAGGATCTCCTCACCAAGAATGTCGCAAAGCAACATTCCATGGAAGACGACGACCTCAGAGTATTGACGGTATTTGAAACTTTCGCCTCAAATAATAGGCACAAAAGGGCACTCCACAGCCTTGTCGAAATCTGCCAAGTTGCAGCAATAAACCCCTAGAACGACACGGCCATTACTTTCAATGCCGATGATGAGCCAAAATCCAGGACAGTCCGGGCACCAGCCGCATTACTCCTCAATCCGATCATGGATGGCTTTCGGCTAACCAAAGTGCTCATGGGCGGCAGCAGCGGACTGAACCTCGTTCACAAGGAAACTCTCAACAAAATGGAAATAGATAAGAGCCGCATTGAGCAAAGTAGCACGACCTTCCAAGGAATCATTCCTAGTCGGGAGGCGCGATGCGCGAGAAAAATCACACTATATGTGGTATTCGGCACGCTGGAGAATTACAGGTCCGAAGAGATAACCTTCCAAGTGGCCCCTTTGAACAGTGTATATCATACCTTATTAGGGCGAGATGCATTTGCACGCTTCCAAGCTATACCCCATTACGGGTACATGAAGCTCAAAATGCTCGGGCCCAATGGTATTATCACTCTTGCCAGTGATCCAGACACAACACTCCGCGCCAAAAACAAAACTGCAACCCTAGCCCTCGAGGTATTGTCCAAAGCCCTTGCGGCCAAAGAATTAACTACATTGCGCTCCACAGTGGATAGGGACGACGTAATCATGGACAAACGACCCAAATCCACCTCCTTCAAACCAGCAGATGAAATAGTCAAATTTCAAGTCCACCCGACGAACCCCGAGAAGACAGCATCCATCAGAGCACAGTGATACGTCTCCAACGTATCTATAATTTTTTATTGTTCCATGCTATTATATTACCTATTCTGGATGTTTATGGGCTTTACTTTACACTTCTATATCATTTTTGGGACTAACCTACTAACCGGAGGCCCAGGCCGTATTGCTATTTTTTGCCTATTTCAGCGTTTCGAAGAAAAGGAATATCAAATGGAGTCCAAACAGAATGAAACCTTTGGGAGCGTGATTTTTGGAATGAACGTGATCCAGAGGACTTGGAGTGCAAGTGCAAGTCAAGAAGCTCCCGAGGCGGCCATGATGGTGGAGGGCACGCCCCCCCCCCCCCAGGGCGCGCCCCCTGTCTCATGGGCCCCTCGGGCATCCACCGACATACTTCTTCCTCCCATATATACCCATGTACCCCGAAACCATCAGGGGAGCCACCGAAGAAATATTTCCGCCAAAATAACCTTCTGTATCCGCGAGATCCCATCTTGGAGCCATCGTCGGTGTTCTGCCGGAGGGGGAATCCACCACGGAGGGCTTCTACA